CGACGAAGGTTAAAAGGTAACCTTTTGTTTGCCAATATTCTCTCGTTTCTGTCGATGGATTCTAGTTTTCGTTGGTTCTTTGGTTGATAATAGCTGGTTTCTTTCTTTTTCTTCTACTAATGGATGGATTCAGATGGGTGCTTTTTTTTATCCTCGCTGATTACTCTTGCTTCATTTTTTACTCGATTTCTTTCCTGTTATGATTGCTAATCCCCTCCTTGTGTTTCCGGTTTTTCTTGATGATGCGTTTTCTCTCTATTTTTCTATTTTTCTCTGTTGCTGATGGGTTGAGAGCCCTGCCCCTGGTTTCGTGTTCGCTGGTTATTTCTAGTTGATTTTTTCTTTCTGTTTTTATGTGCCTTCTGCTCTGTTTCTTGTTTGGTGCATTTTCAGGTCACGGGAACGAGTTGGTCACGGGGGCGAGCTGGTCACGGAGGTAGCCGACAGTTCTGGGAGTTCCTCCTAGTTGATTTGCACGATGGCTCAGTATTCACGGAGAGTTGTGAGCCGTTGGATCGTGAAGTCAGATCCAACGGTGGGGGCTCAACTGCGCATGGAGATGGTGACAGGAAACCCTAACGGGTCTAGGGTTTCCTCAAACGGGCCGCAATTCTCGAGCTCCCACTTTGGTTCAGTTTCGTTTATTGGGTCAACGGGCTCTTCATCAATTGGGCTTGCTGTAATTGATTTTAGCAATTTTGGCCTATAAAATAAAATACTTACTTAGTGAATCCATGTACCATATTTATTTATTTATGTATATATATATTATATATATATATATATGATCACATGCATAACCACATAGATGAATAGACAATCACTATGTAATTAAACACACCCATACAACTAATAAACTAATAATAGTATAAATAAATAAACACATGCAAAACTTGGTAATAATAACTAATTAGTAATATGAGAACCCCAGACAAAAACGGGTGTCCACAAACCTTTTTGGTCTTTATCTCTCCACTGATATGAAGGACTTTTCTGAAGTGGTTCAAGACCTCATTCTTCAAGACCACCCATTTTTTGGCCCTACCTTTACATGGAGTAACAAACAAAAAGAATCATTCCTTGCAAGGAAACTTGATAGAGTCCTCATTAACTCTCATTGGGTCAATTCTTTCAATAAGTCCTATGTTGAATTTTCCCCCCTAGGCCCTTCAGATCATTGCGTGGCTCTAACTTGGTTGAACAAAGAAGATCACATCAATGGACCCAAACCTTTTATGTTCTTCAATTTCTGGTCTAATCATCATTCTTTTCTTGAGGAAGTGAGAAATTCTTGGCAGCATCCTATTCATGGCAACCCTATGCAAACTCTTTTTCTCAAACTTAAAAGACTCAAGCCTTGTTTACAAGCCTCGAACAAGAACTCCTATAGTAATTTATCTATTAGAGTCAAACTTAAGAAAACAGAGCTGGAGCAAGTCCAAATCTCTACCCTTAAAGGTACCAGTACGCTTGAGAAGGAACTGGCTGTTCAAAGTGAACTTGCTGCTCTTGAGGAAGTTGAAAATATGTTCGTAATGCAAAAATCTAAAGCCAAGTGGCTTAAGGAGGGAGACAAATGTACCAAGTACTTCCATTCTGTCATTACAACAAAAAATAAATCTAACACCATTAGGGTCCTTATCAATGCTCAAGGTAAAATGCTGGAATCTTTTGAAGATTTGTCTTCTGAAGTCTTAGATTACTTCAACTATCAATTAGGTTATGTTGATCCTAATTTACAACAAGTTGATCCTGATTTCTTGAAAAATCTCCTCCAATTCGATATGCCTGCTGATATCTCTTCTGCCTTAGTCAGAAAGGTCACCAATGATGAGATTAAAAACGCCATTTTCAGCCAGGGAAATGACAAATCTCCTGGCCCAGATGGCTTCACTCCTCTATTCTTCAAAAAAGCTTGGTCTGTGGTAGGAGAAGATGTTACTAATGCAATCAAATTTTTCTTTGAACATTCTTGCATCCTGCCTGCTTTTAACTCCACGATTATAGCCTTGATTCCTAAGCTTAATAATCCTAGTACTGTCAAGGATTACAGACCTATCTCATGCTACTCTGTAGTGTACAAAATCATCTCCAAAATCTTTGTTAAAAGGCTGACATCTCTGCTACCTGCTCTTATCACTCCTAACCAGTCTGCTTTTATCCGGGGAAGATCTATAAACGACAACACTCTTCTAGCTCAGGAGCTTGTTAAAGGATATGGAAGGAAACAAATCTCCCCAAGATGTGCTCTCAAGATTGATCTCCAAAAGGCTTTTGATTCTCTCCATTGGGATTTCATCTCTACCACTTTCAAAGCCATATGTCTCCTAAGTATCTTCTTAAATTGGATTGAGGTGTGTTTCAAAGAAGCCATATATTATATCTCTTTTAATGGTAGCTTAGTTGGATATTTCAAAGGTCAAAGGGGGCTTAGACAAGGTGATCCCTTATCCCCCGTCTTATTTGTTCTTGCTATGAACATCATCTCCAAAATACTTAATCTTGCAGCTTCCAAAGGGATCTTTGGATATCATCCTAAATGCAAAAGAATATGGCTTACTCATCTATCTTTTGCTGATGACCTCTGCAAAGGAAATCCTGAATCAATTACTGGAATCATTTCTGTTTTAAGCCACTTCTATTCTCTGTCTGGTCTCAAGCTTAATGTTAGCAAGACTGAGCTTTTTTCTGCTGGTATTCCCTCTAGAACTCTTGAAATTATTCACAGCATCTCTGGCTTTAAGAAAGGTCAACTCCCTATAAGATACTTAGGGGTTCCACTTGTCACTAAAAAACTATCTAAACATGATTGTCAACCTCTTCTAGACAAAATCAAACTTAAGTTGTACCACTAGTCTAGAAAGCTTCTTAGATACGCTGGTAGACTTGAGTTAATAAAAATTGTTCTTAACAGCGTGGCCAACTATTGGTGCAGGCAATTCATGCTCCCTCAATGTGTTATTAATTGCATTGATCAACTTTGCTCTCATTTCCTTTGGAAAGATATTGATCAGGTAGCTTCTGGGGCTCGAGTCAGCTGGTCCAGTATCTGCTGTCCTAAGTTTGAAGGTGGACTAGGTCTTAAGAACTTAAAATCCTGGAACATTGCTAACATGATTAAGCTCATTCGGAATATACTGGCAAGAGACGGATCCCTTTGGGTGGCTTGGCTGAACTGTTATGTTTTCAAAAATAATTTATGTGACATGAACGCAAGTAATATTCACATCTGGAGTATTAAAAAGCTGCTAAAACTGAGACATACTGCTCTTCCCATCCTGAATGTTGGTACGATTTACACTAGAGATATTTGGGAAGCCGTTAGAGATAGTAGAAGTAAGGTGTCATGGCATAAAATCATTTGGTTTCCTATGCATATCCCTAAGTTTAGTATGATCTCTTGGATGGCCATCCTTGACAGACTTCCAACTAGGGATAGACTGTCAAGGATGGGTATTGCCATTGATACTCAATGTTTTCTTTGCAACGAAGCTATCGAATCCAGAAACCATCTTTTTGCTGACTGTAACTTTGCCAAATTATTGTGGAATTATATCTTAAATTTGGCACATGTGCATAAACCTCATTTACCTTGGGAAGAAATGATCGAATGGGCTTGTGTTGAATGGAAGGGAAAATCTTTAATCTCCACCTTGCTGAAAATTACATGGACTTCCTACATCTATATGATTTGGGAGGAGAGGAATAGAAGAATCTTCAAACATAAAACTAGAGAAGCTGCTCATCTTCTGTCTCTTATCAAGGACATTGTTCGGATTCAACTTAGTGGGAATAAGATCAATAGAAACGATTTTTGTAACTATACTATCTGCTGTAATTGGGGTATAGACTGACCATTATTTTGTTGTAAATTGTTTATTCTCCCGTTGGGACGATTTGTAGTTCTGTTCTTCTGGATAATAAAATCTTACTTATTCAAAAAAAATATAATGTTTATTTGAAAGATTCTTAATTTTTTGATAATAAATGTTAAAGTACCTATTAGATAATATGCTCAAATATGAGACCTTTAGAGGTAACAAGTAATAACTAAAGTACACAAATGATTCTTCGACTACATGATATTGTTTTATTAAGTCTCTCAATTATTAAAAATTATAGAATGATCCTCAAATAATAAAGTGTTGTTTTATTGAGTCCCTCAACTATTAAAAGTTATAAAATGGTCATCCGACTAATTATTATGTTCCAAAAGCGTCCATTTATGTTAAGAAATTGACGATCGTCTGAGTTGAATGTTAATATAATGACTAAGATATGATAGTCGTTTGAGATTATGTGATCAAATTTTATCATATCACAGTTAGCATGTTAACGTTCAACTCAAAATATCGTCCATTTTTAACAGAAAAGGATGAATTTTGAATATAATAAATAGTCAAATGATTATTTTGTAACTTATAATAGTTGAGGACTCAACATATCAACACTCTTTAGTTGTAGTACTATTTATAACTTTTAATAGTTGAGAGACTTAATAAAACAATACCATATGATAGAGATCATTTGTATAGTTTACCCCAAAATTATTTGATTTGTGCTCGGTTAGTTATCAACTAAATGTAGAAATAAAAATGTATTTTTAAAGATATTTAGGCTCAAATGGCTTACATCAAATAAGATGAAGTAAATACAAGTAAAATGCGTCTCCTCCAGCTGTCCAAACAATTCATGCATAAACTTTCAACAACTAATGTCGGGGACCGACTCTTTCCTTATTTGATGCCATAATTTAGTGTTTATGTTTCTGTCAAAACAACCAACAATTGAAGCAGATGAATGTTTTGGGGTTGAGATGTGATAAATCCAAAAAGAAAGTCCCATGCGCGGTGCGGTGCAAACGGGGGCCCCAGAAAAAAAGAAAGAAAAGGCAGAATCAAAAAACTTTGACCGCCCCTCGCTCCCACAAATCACTATTTTTCATCTGATATCGCATTCGCACGACCACCATTCAACTTGTTCTCTGCTTTCTGCTTTTGCTTTGCCAATACCACCCACTTTTATCTATCTTCATAGATTATGCCCCCTTTTTCTCTCCCTCCAAACATCACCTGCTGCTCAATGCTGACACCACTGCACCTTCAATAACACACATACTGTCAGTCTCCATTTGTTTTGTTTCTCCCCCAACAACAACATCAGACTTGTGTTCTGTTCCATTTTCCCTTTTATGGTACCCAACCCACCAACTACCACTTGCCTGCTTTCAGTTTCTGCTCATCGTACCCACCGTCTCTTTCCTTTACATCACTCTCCAGGTACTTCTCTCTCCGTCTTCACCATGTATATAAATACAAGTTTCTTCTTTCCTTTTTTTTATTTATACAAATTGTATGTATTTGTTAGCGGTTTCTTCATATTGGTGTTTAAGTTTCAACAAGAATACCTTTTAATGCTCCCCACTTGTTTTAATTCTTTCCTTTCTCTCTCAAGCTCAATAATGCTGGAAAAATTGGATTGTCAAGAGATTTTGAACTGCAGAGAAATTATTCTTCGCGTGCTTCCTTGAATGAACACGAAATGATTCTTTGTATGTTTCCTAGCAAAATCGCCGAGGGAGAAGAAGTTAGAAGCCCATCAAAAGCATTTTCTTGGCAGTTACCACCTTTATAGTTAGATAGAAGGCGTCATTTCTGGATGTAAATCTGAGCAACGGAAGGTAAAGCAGAAGAAAAAAACATGAAGAAATTATGGTCGACGAAACAAGGGTTGACTAGAATCTTTGGTTTGTGGCTGTTGCTTGTATTCCATCATCTGGTTTCAGCCCAAAAGCAAAGCAATGATGATGTGATGAAGCTGATGGCTTTCAAGCGATTCTCGGTTTCTTCTGATCCCTCCGGCGCCTTAGCCAAATGGACTGAAGATTCTGCGAGCCCCTGCTCATGGCGTGGAGTCTCTTGCTCTCCTGATGGCCGTGTTACTGTCCTGAACCTCAGTTATTCCGGCCTTGTTGGTGCTTTACAACTCCCGAACCTGACAGCCTTGTCGTCTCTCCGTCAACTGTATTTACAAGGGAACTCGTTTACTGCTGCTGATCTTTCTTCTATCTCATCGTGCAACCTCGAAACTATCGACTTGTCATCCAACGCCATCTCGAACCATCTGCCTGAAACATCATTTGTCTCCGCCTGTAACAGTCTGGTTCTTGTTAACCTCTCTCACAATTCAATTCCTGGGGGAAATATTACGGTTGGCCCTTCTCTGCTGCAGCTTGACCTCTCTCGTAATCAGATTTCTGATTTTTCCCTATTGAGCTACTCCCTTTCCACATGCCAGAACTTGAAGCTTCTCAACTTGTCAGATAATAAGCTCACGGGTAAACTTGGTCTCTCTTCCCTGTCTTGCAAGAATTTAATGGTTCTTGATCTTTCATACAATCTGTTTTCTGGATCAATACCGTCGAGTTTGATGCCAAATTCTTTGGTTTCGTTGGAGCTTCTTGATCTTTCTCACAATAACTTCTCTGGCAAGTTCTCCACCTTAAATTTTGCGCAGTGCAGCAACCTCACCAAGCTCAGCTTGTCTCATAACAGCCTCTCTGACTCTGGGTTCCCAGTTAGCCTCAGAAACTGTCGCCTTCTACAGGCACTCGACTTGTCCCATATTAGGCTGCAGGGCAAGATTCCAGGGGACTTGTTGGGAAACTTGAGAAATTTGAAAATTCTATCTTTGGCTAACAATGAGTTTATGGGTGAAATCCCTCCTGATTAGGACAGGCTTGTGGGACTCTCGAGGAGCTTGACCTGTCATCAAACAAACTAATAGGTGGTTTGCCTTTATCTTTTACATCATGCTCTTCTTTGCAAGTTTTGAACCTGGGAAACAATCTACTTTCAGGAGATTTCCTCAGTGCAGTTGTGAGCAGTCTCCCTAATTTGAGATATCTTTATGTACCATTCAACAATGTTTCTGGTTCTGTGCCCTTGTCACTCACGAATTGTACTCGGCTTCAAGTGCTGGACCTTGGTTCTAACGCCTTCGAGGGGAGTATCCCTCGAGGATTTTGCTCTTCAACATCTTCTTTGGAAAGGATTCTTTTAGCCAACAATTACCTCTCAGGAAGTGTGCCGGTGGAGCTTGGAAACTGCAAGAACTTGAAGTCATTAGACCTTAGTTTTAACAGCTTGAATGGTCCTATTCCCATAAATATTTGGAATTTGCATTATCTTTCTGACCTGGTTATGTGGGCAAATAACATCACCGGTGAGATCCCAGAAGGCATTTGTGTCAATGGAGGAAACCTGGAGACCCTCATTCTCAACAATAATCTCATCGGTGGAAGAATACCGGATTCCATTTCCAGGTGTACCAATATGATATGGGTATCACTTTCTGGCAACAGACTTACAGGTGAAATCCCTTCTGGTTTTGGAAATCTTCCTAAGCTTGCTATCCTGCAATTGGGTAACAACTCTCTGACTGGACAGATTCCACCGGAGCTTGGCAGATGCCAGAGTCTCATCTGGCTTGATTTAAATAGCAATGGCATCAGTGGTGCTCTTCCACCTGAGCTTGCAAACCAAGCCGGTCTAGTCATGCCTGGACGCGTATCAGGGAAGAAATTCGCATTCGTAAGAAATGAGGGTGGAACAGCTTGTAGGGGTGCTGGTGGTTTAGTTGAGTTTGAGGGAATAAGGCCAGAAAGGCTTGAAAGTTTTCCCATGGTTCATTCTTGCTCATCCACTAGAATTTACTCCGGTATGACAATGTACACCTTTGTCAATAATGGAAGCATGATCTACCTTGATATCTCTTATAATAATCTGTCAGGTTCTATTCCCGAGAATTTTGGTACAATGAGCTACCTCCAGGTCTTGAATTTGGGGCATAATAAGCTAACGGGTAACATTTCTGAAAGTTTTGGAGGTTTGAAAGCTATTGGTGTCTTGGACCTCTCTCATAATAATCTCCAAGGATATCTGCCAGGATCATTAGGGACTCTCAGTTTTCTTAGTGACCTGGATGTATCCAACAACAACCTAACCGGTTCGATCCCTACCGGTGGTCAGCTGACCACTTTCCCAGCCTCCAGATACGAGAACAACTCCGGCCTCTGCGGGGTTCCCTTGCCTTCTTGTGCCTCCGAAGCTCATTCGACAAACCTTCATACTCGAAATAAGAAGACACCAGTGGCAGTCGTGATGGTGGTTGGCATTACACTCTTCCTTTTCTGCTTTCTTGGATTAACAATAGCTCTTTACCGAGTGAATAAGAACCAGCTTAAGGTGGAACAAAGAGAGAAATACGTTGAAAGCCTACCAACTTCAGGTAGCAGTATCTGGAAACTCTCTAGTGTACCTGAGCCTTTGAGCATCAACATTGCCACTTTCGAGAAGCCTCTACGAAAGTTGACCTTCGCCCATCTGCTCGAAGCTACTAATGGTTTCAGTGCGGAAAGTTTGATAGGGTCCGGAGGGTTTGGCGAGGTCTACAAAGCACAGCTGAGAGACGGCTGTGTAGTTGCAATCAAGAAGCTAATACACATAACAGGGCAGGGAGACAGAGAGTTCATGGCAGAAATGGAAACTATTGGAAAGATCAAGCACCGGAACCTGGTTCCCTTACTCGGTTACTGCAAGGTTGGAGAGGAGAGGCTTCTCGTTTATGAGTACATGAAATGGGGAAGTCTGGAATCTGTTCTTCATGACACAGCCAAAGGAAGAGGGTCAAGGCTTGATTGGGAAGCTAGAAAGAAGATTGCTATCGGATCAGCTCGAGGTCTTGCGTTCCTTCATCATAGCTGCATTCCTCACATTATCCATCGAGACATGAAATCTAGCAATGTACTTCTTGATGAAAACTTTGAGGCTAGAGTTTCTGATTTTGGGATGGCAAGATTAGTAAATGCTCTTGATACTCATCTCAGTGTCAGCACACTTGCAGGAACTCCAGGATATGTTCCCCCGGAGTACTATCAGAGTTTCCGGTGTACAACAAAAGGTGACGTCTATAGTTACGGTGTCATACTGCTAGAACTTCTTTCTGGAAAGAGGCCTATAGACCCATCCGAGTTCGGTGATGACAACAACCTTGTAGGCTGGGCAAAGCAACTCCACAGAGAAAAGAGAGTTGATGAGATATTGGACCCTGAGTTGATGCTGAAAGAATCTGGTGAGTCAGAGTTGCACCATTATTTGAGGATCGCCTTTGAGTGTCTCGATGATAGGCCCTTCCGACGTCCGACCATGATACAGGTGATGACATTGTTCAAAGAGCTTCAAGTTGATTCAGATAGTGATATCCTCGACGGTTTATCGATCGGGGACAGCACTATTGACGAATCGTGAGGCAAAAACATGTGAGAAGTGCATACAACTCCGGTTGAAGTGAAAGGTCCTGTTTCTTCCATCCTGAGTACGTGGTGAGATTGAGTCTGCAGATTAGGCATCTGCAAGTTGATTTTCTGATATTTGCAGATAGGCTTTCATTCATAAGGTTTTTCGCTTAGTGTAAATAATAGAAAACGCCGAATGACTCGGGTCTTCGGTTGCTAAAACCCGGGTACAATAGAATTTCTTTCCTCTAAACAATCATCTGTGTCACCAAAGTCATCAATACTTTGCTCCTTTTTCCATTATCTTGAATTTCCTGCCACAATTTTGCTAACTCATTCATACTCTTTATTTGTTACAATTGGTCAGTTGTTCATCATAGTGTAAATTTCTAATAGGAAAGTGAATTCAATTGTGTTGAGTTTAGTGACTAGTGAGCGATTACAATGAATTTAATAGCAACCGGATTCCAAACCGATTCACAAATATGATTTATAACTCGGTTTCAGCTGATTTTGAAACCTCCAACTTGCTCAGAAACCGGACTACTTAGAATCTGGTTAAGTGAAGTTGATTCCAAACCGATTCACAAATATGATTATAACTCGGTTTTCGGTTAAAGTCCTGAAAATGTTCGAGAAGACTCTGACCCAAACATAAAGTAACCTTTGCTGCAGTGGCATTATAGGAGTTGGAAAATAAGGCTATTGGGGAATGACAATATATTATATATGACAAATTTATCTGTTTTTGATGTCCTGAGATCCAGGCTTTATCTAATTGGTAAAAAAAAGGGGTTATTTGCAATGTGAAGTCATCATGTTAGTTTGTAGTGTTTGTTTTTATGAGATTATGAATGGGTTGCTGTTGAGGGATGTGACCTTTTTAGTGGCAAATCAGATTCAAAGTTTGATTTATTTGAAAAAGCAGCAACAAATACTAATGTAATGAATGACGTTTTTGACAAAAGTGTCGGCACTTTTATGACTATGATTCATGTATCATAAATATATGACCAAAATGGGAGAGTAGCAGTTTCTACGTTGTCAAGGTAAAAAGAGTGAAATACTTGTATACTGACGAAGTTTTGCAGCAACAGCAATAGCATCCACCTCTATTATTTACCCGATATTGATTTTATAAGAATAATACATGCATGCATAAGTCTAACTTGATTTGAGTCATTGCCTTGCTTGATGTTTCAAAGAAGTAACTGTTGGTTGATCAAGCTTGTTTCTTATCTCACCCAGAACAGGGTAAGTTGAAACATTCATTACAAAGCAGTGCCGTTTCCTTTCCTATCCAATCCAATCTAATCTAATCCAAGTGAAAATTGCATAAAAAAAATCATTGAACGTATTTTACATAGTGAACAAAACTGAATTTGTATTCCTTTGAGAATGGGGTAACCATATATGATAAAAGTCACTATATATATATATCATATCTTGCTCCTCATTCTCACCAAGTTTGCTAGTGTATCTTCAGCAGCCAAGGTATGGGCATGATTGTGCCCCAGCATGACAGTCCAAATACTAATACAAGTTCTTCACAGCTCTTCCCTGCTGTCGAAATGGCCGCCTTTTAACAGCAGCTTGGCTTTGGTTTCCAACAGGGTTGCCTTCAACAACGTCACGTCTTGCCAAACGTACTCGTCCACCCTTTGCTTCCCTTGTAACTCGTTCCTCCAACACAGCGACCCTTCACACCAGTCGTATTTGCGATACGAAAGACTTCTTGACTTCCTCCAACACATTCGTGCACACCTTTAATAACTCCAATGCCGAATTGCATCTCGAGAACATTGTGAAGGCTCTAATCACCAGCGGTAGTACCGTCTTCTTGATATATATATTAACATATCTATTGCTTTCAACTGCACAACCGGAGGTTCTGACTTGAACCCAGATACAAGAAATGCAGTGGCCCATAGATGATCATAATTCGGGCAATGGATTCCCGATTTTTCTTACGCCGAGGATTGTGGCTTTAGCCGCCAATAAGCGCTCTTTCCTCTTTGCAAACGCTTGAGTTATAGGATGCAACTGAATCCAACATCCATTCTGTCCATTAGCTCTTCTTGCCAATCCTAGCTTTACTAGGAGATTGACACAGTCTTTATCACTTTGAGTAGCTAAACCGCATCCGCCGAAGCAACTGAATGTGAGGCTTCGACACTTGACCCACATTTTGAATCTCTTCCCACCAACAGACATGCACTTAGCCGCAGTTGCTAGAAAATTTGCCGTTATGGGTGATGGGGCAAACCAAGCACCAACAAGAAGCATTCGTGATGCTAGAATACTATTCCTTCTCCCATTGCCTTGGTGCAAGACGGCGAAGCAGAAACATAAAATTTTCATCAGGAAAGGGTTGTGTTTGCAGAACTGCTGATCAGTTGGTGTAGTAGAGCCATCTTCGAGTGAAGTAGAGACCCGGTTCACAGCTTCAAAGAGTGCAGAAGGAGAAATGGGCAGTTCGGAAAGTATTGCACCAATAATCCACAAACCAAAACTTAATCTTCCCAATTTCTCATCAAATTTTCTCAAGAACTCAAACTCGTAGGCCAGATAATCCTTTTTCCTTCTTCCTCGTACTAATGTCATTGCATCGGATAAAGGCAATGAAGGAAGCTGCATTATGTAAAAATTCATCACATTATGTAGCCTAGTTTTGATGACCACATGAGTCCCCCAGTGTTCCTAGGAATCAAGTCATGCGGGTCTTTTCCTTCCCACCACTCTTGTTCCGTCTCAAGATTGTCAATAATCAACAAATAAGGCATGTCCCGGAACACCTCCCTCTTCACTCGCTTGAATGCTTCAAATTCCAGCTCCTCGAAGCTTCGAATGCGGCCCCTTTCCTTCTCGTTTTCGGCGCTCACATCCAACCCCAAATTAAGTGATAAATTCAATATATTTTGCCGGAAATATATGGCTTCTGCACAAACCCAAAGAACAGTCTTATATATCTGGGAATACCTATAGGCAATGTAACACCCTCAGACCGATGTGGGTGACCCGATCCGATCATAGGTGTCACATTAGGGCCACAACGACCCACAATAAAAATATAAGAAAATTAAAATTTATGTTAAAGCGCATAAAATCATAAAACAATTTATAATTAAAATGCAAGCTTAAAAATCATTCATGTATTACAAACATAATTAAAATCATACAAGTTTCACACCCAGTATAAAAGAATCAAATGTGACTTACATGCCCCCTAATTACCCTTATACCGTACTCTTCAACCCAAGCCAAAGGAACTCCCATTACAAATGTCGATAGCTGCACTGGATCAATTCTTATAACCTGAAATGGAGAGTAAAAGAGTGAGCTTTGGGAAGCTCAGTAATACAAAACCACCAAGTAATGCTGAAGGACATGCAGTTAATAGACAAGCATATAAATTTCCTTATTGAATTAGGCTTATACAAGTTTTTGGGATGAGATGAGGTTTCACTGATATTTCTTCGAGTAAAAGATATGAAGATTTTAGTAAGAGGAAATGTTCAAAGGAACAAGGTCAGGAGATCAGAATAGGATGTCTAGTGTGTTCCAATAAAATAGAGTAATGTATATAGATCCTTTAAAAATGTTAGTAGTTTAAAAATATTTTAAAAACCACAATAATACCCTCAAACCGAACACCTATATGAAGTTTCCCCATAACTGCATCTTTAAGGACCCTAAGGGAGTACCTTGGGGCCTATGGGCCTACTCAAGTGTCTCATTAGGTCCGTAAGGAATTACCAGCTTGATCAAAGCTGCACCTTCATACTCTAGAATTCTACCCATACAATATCCAGTAGAATGTTGTAAAAATGAAATGTAGTTATTTAAATCACATGAATGCTCTCCTTCCTGACACCATAATAAAATCCCCATACTAAGGGAGTGCCTTGGGGCCTTAGAGCCTACTCAAGGAATACTTTAGGTCCATAAGGAATTGCCAGCTTGATCAGAGCCGAACCTCCATACTCTATCCTACCCGGATAGTGTCCTAATAAAGCAGTTCAAGTAGTAACTAGTAGACTCCACAAAAATTAAAAACAATCATATTTTCTAGTGAAAATAGGTAACCAGAGAGCATATTTCATGTAGCCATAGTTCATAAACAATAATTCAATACACCAATAAGTTAGAATATTGAACAGTTAAAAGATTTAATAAAACAATAACTTTGGTAAATCACATTTCAGGACAAATAAAATAATCATATAGCACATAGTGAACACACTAGAGGATCCATTTATTTTTCCGGGGGTACTTGGTATTTATCAAGTAGGGAGTCATAAAATTTTTGCAAACTGATTGAATTTTAGTACGAGATCCTTATGAAAAGGGGTTTAATGGTTAATAGATTTATCAAGATCATATATTATTTAGATATTTTTCAGAGGCGCTAAGTAATCATGACGATATTCATAATCTTTTGCATCAGAGTTACTTAAGATTTCAAATATGACATGAGTGATTCTATTATTCAGGAAATTGGGGGCATTTTGGACATTTAGTTCTGGGAGAATTCTTAGAAATTTATTCTAATAAGGGTGAAACGATGATTCATGATATTTAAGTTTCATATCGATTTATCATGATATCGAGTCAACTCAAACTGAACAAATCCCAGTACTGTGACACTTGTCAACCAGTCAAATCGATCGCTTCAAGGATATTTACACTTTAATAATTACAACACTAGTCAAATTGATCATCTTCAAAATCATTGTTGAATGGATCTTATGGAGACGATATATATTCCAATGGTATTTATTTCATTTCCGTATTGCAACGGTATCAAGAATATCCACATGCTTGATTCATAGTTCAAAACCCTTATGGACGGTACAACATATAAGTTCATCAGCGTTTCCAGACTTATCCAAGTCATCCGCTTAATTATAGGTCATTAAGGGTACTTAGGTCACCTCAGTACTTGAGGTTATTTTAGTTATTTTGGGGTCCAAGGGCACATTGATTATTTCAAAACTTATGGATAATTCATCATTTAAATACTTCAGTGACGTGTCACACTTCCAGTAATCTAGTCTTCAAATGATCATTAAAAAAAAAGGTGATAATCGTATTAAGAATTCCAAAAGTAGAAGTTTATTTTTGGGGTTTTTCAAATAGATCGGGAATTTAATCGGTGATTCCAAGGTTCAAATGGATCAAAATATGAGTTCTCAGGTCGTCTCGATTATCATAGCCATCCATAGTCCTTTTTACACTTTGAGGGTATTATCGTCATCCCTTATATATGTATATTCATCATTTAACCTTTAACGAAATTAATCAAAGTTTAAGGATCTTGATTTTAATTGATTTATTGATTAATCATTAAACTTGAATTTATTTCTTATAGATATTCTAATTCCTTACGTGAGTCATTTGAGTCTTATACAATTTACTACATTCTTATCGTAATCATACTAGGTTTACCTCATTCAATGGTATCCATAAGATCAATCGAACTTATTCATGCATTTACCAACTATCAATGTGTACCATAAAGCATACGAAATGTGGTAGAATATTACCTCGAT